TTTTTTTTATTTGTATCTTGTTGGTACGAGAATAAAGTAATTGAGAATCACTACTATCATTGCTGTTGTGGTTATTTTACAGCTTGAACAATAACTTTTGAGTTTTGGCTCAACTACCTTTTTGCTTAAGAAAAGCTGCTGCGATTTATTGCCTGCTTGCTAAGTAATTTTTTCTTAAAACAAAAGAATGGAATTAAATTTTCTGTGGTGGGGGTTAAGGTTTTTATTCAAGCATGATATTAATTCTATGGAAGACACATTTACACACATCTCATTTCTGTGGAAATGTAAACTTTTGGCAAGATTTTCCAGTGAAGTCACACACATTGGTTCTTTAAACATTTTTTATGACTTGGGAGAAGCCCTTGTAGCAGAAAAACACAATTTACACATAGTTGGAGATAACAAATTAAAGTCAAATTTATAAAATTATAAGAAAACATATATCTCTTACTACACACCAATTTTCATCTAGCTAAGTCATACACACACCACACTCTACTCAAAATAAATTTTAAAACAGACACAAATATACCAGTGCTGACCATTTATCTACACGACTCTCACTTGCTGCAGATGTCTACAACTACTAGACTACCTGTAGTCTATTTACATTATTCAGACTATTGTCCTCATCTTTGTCGCCATATTTATTACAACGTTTCGGCCGTTGTACACTCCAGCCTTCTTCAGGTAGTTGAAACGTTGAACTGAACTCTTTGTTTTGTTCACTTGGGTAGACTGTTCTAGTTTCACGTGCCTTGTTTTAATGGATGGCAATTGTCAGTTATCGCCTGTTAATTCCCCTCTCCAAGTTCTCCACTGCCTTAACTGGGTTATGAACTCACACTCTTTGGGTCCTGGCACTGGATCTAACTAACGCTTTTATCCACTGGGCCATGTGTCCTTGAGGAAACATTGTAATAAATATGGCAACAAAGATGAGGACAATATTCCGAATAATGTAAATAGTGTACATAATACCTAATCTCAGAAATATAGACAGATACCGGTAATCTGTTGGGTCACTGACTGTTCAGCTTATAAAACATTGAAGTTGATTTCAACATTCCATTAAAATGAAAGTTAATTTTATTATGATTTACTTAAATATTTCAATTCCCCTGTGTTATCATTGATCTGGTTTACAAGTTCATGTTTAACATTTTACTGATTGTTTACAGCATTTAATAAGAATAGAACTTCCAGGATAATCTTGAACTTTAAATCAGATTAACTTAAAAATATTTTTTAATATGCCAAAAATATTTTGAAATCCTATTCACTTGGAAATATTTTTAAATATGCCAAAAATATTTTAAAATCCTATTCACTTGAAAATATTTTAAAATATGTCAAAAAAATATATTATAAATATTTAAAATATTGTTTGTTTAAAGAAAGCTGCAATATAAATAATTACTCGACAAACAAGTGGACAAAACAGCAAAGCGGGATCTCTTTGTGTATGTCTTTAAATTAAAAATATTTTAATAAAAAAATTGTCTGTTTGAAGAAAGTTAAAATAAAAATACTTACTGTATAAACAACTCGTAAATCATTATGTGCTGGATGGATGCACCACACAAGCACACAATCACAGATTTTTAGTATTATATAGATAAGGGAAGCCGGACAGCAGAGAGAGAGAAAGAGAGAGTTCACACACTAACCATAGAGGCTACCTGAAAGCATGGCTGACAACAGCCTCCTGTGAATACAGAAAGAGAACAGATTCCACTATCAATGTGACAAACCCAAATCAACAGCCAACAGTCAGCCGGTTTAAGCATACTCTATTTTTATATTCACATTTCACACTGTGTCCATTCGAACAATGCACAATACGATTTATCAGAGGCATTTTCATATCTTGTAAATGAAAATAAATCTGGTCATTTCTCCAAACCAGTATCTAATTTGTTTCTTTACTCCAACCAGCTTCCACCTCAGATTACCCTAAATAATAAATAAAATATTACTGAAAATGGTTTACTTCAGAAATATATTTGTGGCATATCGACAAGCTGAAAACATTTTGTTTAGGTACCTAAGTACCTATAGTGATTCACTAAAATATGAGCATACATGTTCAAAAGATGCCCAAAGCTTAATAAAAACAAAGTTTTATCATCAAAATCATCATGTTATTATTAAGAGAAAATACCAAAGGATTTCTATGTAAAAATTCATTTTTTTAGAATTTTAGAATCTTCAAAAATTTAGTTAAAAATTTTGTTTGTCTGACATCAAAGTGAGACCATAAGTATAGGAAATTTGAGTGTCTTTTTTTCGTGAAAAACACATTAATTGGAAATTCTTACAAAAATCAGATAATTGTTTGATTTTAATGATAATGTAATGGGGTAGATAATGTCGGATGTTGATGTATTATTTTCCCTGTTGTGTTTATTTGTTGACTGTAATGGAGTTGATATTAAATGACAGAAATTAAAATACATAAATGTACAATGATAACAATAATAAAAACTCGAGACATATATTGACATAACAAAAATTTGTATTTTCTTTTTGTGATGTTAATTACAGAATATTGGTATGCTATGTGTAAAAATGTTCTCAGTATGTCTTTTGTTTAAAAGTCAGTGCTTACCTGGTTTGGTTCCAAGAATTTTGTTTATGAGGATGGCGTTTGGAAATCATCTGTTTTTGATCTTCACAGAGCACAGGCCAGATGTGTGTTTCAACACTGCTACTTGTCTACTGGTTAGAATGATAAAATACCATCATCATTCTGAACTATAACAATAATTTCAAGACTTATTCACAAATGAATTAAATTATTTTCAAAACATTTCCTCTTTGTAAATCTTGGTAAAAATATTTTTCTTTGCAGGCTACTGCTACTTGTCTACAGATTAATATGGTAGAAGGATCTTTTTAAAATGATGTGGGTAGGATGATGAAATATCCTTTTTTTTTTCTATCATCACTGATGACAAGGTCATTTTTAGAATGATAAAATATCATTATTATGGGTGTGTTCATTAATGCAAGTATCTTTTGTATTTTTAATAATTCAAGAAAACAATGAAACTCCAAATGTGAATCAACAAGTATATAATGAAATAACATACAAGAACAAAATATACAATTTGTATTCAATGTATAGATTAAGGGAAAATAAGTTGCTCCCATTTTACTGTATTTTGATTTGTAATTGATTGTTCGAAAGAAAGTTCTCTTAAGAGAGAAATGTTCAGGAATCCATGTTAGAACAAGTCTAGATAACACAAGAATACAATTTATCAGAAAGTGTGTTGTGTTAGAGAAATCAACAGAGTCCTGGTTGACTGAACTTGGCTGAGTCACAGAGAGATATGTATTACAAAATTCTGTGTCTGTGTGTGCGTTTGAAATGTTCTGAGTAAAGTCATAGGTTTGTGTTGACAGGCGAAATTTAGTGGACTCTACTGGCCACTTGTGAAAAAGTCGACTCTTAAAGCTACAGATAGGCTCCTAGCGAAAACGCGGGAAAAGTTGATTTTGCACTAAAATATGTGATTCATTAAAATTTGACAAATTGGTAAATTTGTACTAATGAAACAAGTAAGCAAGTTCAAAACCAAAAAATTCAAAGCAATGACTGCGATGGCTAAATTGTCCTCTAGAAAGGTAGTATTGATTTATTAGCCAATCGCAGACAAATAAAATGTGAGTGTGGAAAAACATAGCAGTTGCTACATCATCATCATTCTGGACTATAACAATGCTTTCAAGACTTATTATTCTCAAATGAATTAAATTATTTTCAAAACATGTCCTCTTAGTAAATCTTGGTAAAAATATTTTTCTTTACAGGTTATGACCTTCTTATTTGATTTTGAGAAATTCTTTTTGGTAGCACTTAATGTTTATAGCAACAAGTCCTTGGAGGAATTAAATCATCAATTTTTTTTTTTTTTTTTATCAAACAGGATCTCCTGTTACAAAAAAATCTGTTCTGAATCATAAAATAAAAAAAAAAAATGAAATAAAACTTAGACAGTTTGTAATTACGAAGGCTTTTAATTGCTTTAATGAATAAAATATACTATGGACGGTATTGTTTTATGAAAAAATTTTTCGATGAATAACGAATTTTTACAGGAATTGTTTTAATTTTTTTAAAGTTTTAATTTTTTATAAAGTTTTAAATCTTTTAAAATTCTATATTGATTTATAGCAGGCAAGTGATATTGCTATTGAATAAAACTGTATTTACTAATCATAAGTGGAAAAGCTTACTACAATTGATCAACCTCAATATTTTTAAAAATAAAATAATTTTGAATATTCTTTGTGTGTGTATAAATGTGATAATTTTTGTAAATATGGATGTCCATAAACAACACAAGAAAATAAGAACGATAACTATAGTAAATTTAAAATTAATTGGTGATTTTCTAACATTTCTTCTTAGCGATTCCAGAAAATCATTCCAATCAATTTAAATTCGATTTGAAATGCAGTATTTTGTCTATTGGAAATATTAATTAAGTTAAATTAAATTTTTTAGCTTTGAATTAAAACTGAAATAAGAGCTTCAAGAAATATTTTTCATTTTTAAAGTGCATTTATTTTTAAACTTTTGGTATCGCTTTTTTAGGTACTTTTTTTTGTTAATATTGCAAAGTATACATTTTTTTATTTTTGTTCACCATCTTGCTTGACTTTATGGTAAATTCAAGTTCAAATCAATGAACAGAACAGGCAAATTTCGTACTTCATATGAAATAAAGTTGGACTATATATTTATTTGCACAGATATTTATATTTAAAGGGAGCAAAAAGAAAGTCTAATTTGAAAAATATGTTTCAGAATTTTCAGCTTTTCGCTCTCAAAGGGCGTAGATTTCGGTTTAAAAAAATAGGGAATGGCACTCATAATAACACAAAAAGGGCAGATAACTCAACTCCAGGAAACACGGAAGTAGTTTTCTGTTAATTTTTACTTTAAAATCCACTTCCGGTTCTCATGTGATTATTATCAAACCAAGATGGCTAGTAGTATCGCTATGTCGAGCTCTGTTTTTACAGGTAAGGTAATTCTGTCCCGTTTTTATTCTTACTATGTACCTTTCGGTTAGATTGTTACGTTATTTCTCTTCTTAATTCTCTTGAGCTAATGCAATAAGCGTGTCAAATAAGTTTGTAGAAATGTATCGTCCATCTCCAACTTGCTTTCCTTCTTACATCTGTTACACCCCACGGCTTCTACCTTTTTTTTTTTTTAAATAAATTTAATGACAGTTTTTGGTTGATTTTGTTTGATCTTATTTATTTAGAAATGGTAGATTAATCACATCATTTCGTGTAACTACTATTGGAGATTCAACATATTATGTTAAATATTGTTAATTAATTTTTTTTCGTTTTGTTTAGTGTTGCCACATTTAAAAACAAATGTTTTTACTTTTCAAATGTTAGAAAAAATTCGAGAAAAAGAATAAAAATTCACACAGATAGAAGAGGCCACTTGTACTGTTTTTCGAATTAAAAGAAAGTCTAATTAATTAAATAAACTTAAACAGGATTTAAAAATTTAAAGAATAAACGTATTATTTACTAAATTAAAAAAAAACTTTGAAAATTTTATTTTTCATATTCAGATCAGGTGATTGATATATTTTGTCAATAAATAAAAAATATTCTATTAAAATTGTTGATCCTAAATAAACCTTTAGATTAACTCGCAGCTGTTTCTCTCTAGTTTTTTCTATTTATGTGCAATGACAAAGGTTGACTGGTTGGTTGCAACAAAAAGTATTCATTTAAAACTTGAGGACTAATAGAAAGTAAACATTTATTTAACAAAAGAATAACAAGAAAAATTATACATATGTTTTTAAAATGGTAATTAATTGCTTCGTTATTTTTTCTTTTTCTTTTTGTTTCTCTCTTGATTTAACATTGTTTTTAATTTTAGTTATTAAAAGACTCGCCCACGCATTCAATTCCTTTTGGTCCCTGTCTTTGTATTTTTTATCAGTTAATTAAATTTCCATGTGATACATAGCATTTCCATAAAAAGTGGACTTTGTTCGTGCTGAGAATGAAAAAAATACCCAGTAAAAAAAAAAAGGTAAAAACAAAAAAAAAAAAAAACACCAGATCTCAATAACTACTTACTATTAATTAACTTTTTTTTTATTGTAGGCATTTTTTGGGGTTTTTACCTGTTTTTTTTTTTTTTTAGTCTATTTACGTAAAACAAAATTAATTAATGGAGAATAATTAACGTGTGTTCAAGATCTTTATCTTTTAATCCAAATTGTAAATCCAATAAATTTCTGAAGAAATTAAAAGGAAGCTGAAAGCGCGTGAGTAAAAATTAAAAAAGAAAAACGAGGGTATATATTTTTTTAAACGAGAGAGAATACTAAAAGAAAATAACCATATACGGTACACAAAAACTAAGTTGGACTTCAAAATTTCGTGAAATCTAATAACTAAAAAATCTAATTGTGGAATTCGATCTCTGAGTCATAACTCTATTTTATTTTTCTTCATTTCAGATGTCTGTATTTTTTTTCTTTAAAAGTAAAACGATTTTCAAATTTGCTAAAGACCAAGACTTCACCGGTTGAATGGTAATAATTAGCCATTTCCCTACAAGGAAACCTTTCACATTCATTGACCCGTCAGCCAATACTGCTTTCGGTTGAAATTTATAATTTTTGTCTCTTTAGGAAAACAAGTTTCTAAAGTCCAGTCGTTGTTATTCTTTGCAGTAGTTATGGGGGTTTCCTTTCTAACCTTTTTTGAGGCGGTATGGAATGTTAACAACTTGATTGTTATTTTTCTCTGAGTTACACGTACTATCAATTTTTAGTTGTTGCTGCTGTTGATAGACCTTAAATGACGTTTTTTCTCTAGTATATGTCTTTGTGATTCTGTTGTGCCAGTTTACATTTACAATGTTGCAGGAGTCACTTTTTTTGTTGCAAAATTTAGACATTTATCCAAAAATATTTAATAGCTCTTGGTACATTTTTCAGCAAAAAATATTTGGCATACTCATGTGAGTCCGGGTAAAAATAATTAGGAAAAAACCTGGATTTTATACAAACTATTAATACATGTATTAACAAAAGGAAATTACATTGATGTGTACACAGTAGAAAGGAAAAGACATTAAAAACTTAGCTATTAGGAATGTGCTTGTTTATGCATGTGAGATATGCACATGTGTGCATAAGAGTTCAGTCAACTGGGTGAAATGAACATGTCCCAGCAGGGACGTTCTTATCTATGTTCTGTTACATCAAGAGGAAGGTAATGTTTGCTTTTTTATAGAACTTAAACAGCGCCACCAAACTAAAAGCAAAGTAGGGGAATCCACATGTTCAAAGAAGGATGATCTTTGCTTTACTTGCTCAAATAATCAGATGAGTGACTGCTTGGTAATACCAGATGCTGTAAGGTTTGATGTGTGGTTTGCATAATAAAGGCTTGGAATTGATTGGAGAGCCAAGTTCCAATTCCATTTGGGTTCATCACGTTTGCTAATGCGCAAACACCCTTGGGAAAGGTATGAATCCACCTTTTCCCCCCAGCTATGGGTTAAATATTTTCTGGCTTTAAATAACCTCCAATGGATTGATAGGCCATTGAGATCAATCATTGAATTTACTTGTCCAAAGCCTTTTTTGCCATTGATCTTAGGAAGTATTTGTAGACAGCTGACAGCATGGCTTAAAAACTAAGATTTGTTCAGATAACTGATAATATTAACAATACTGATCCCAGAATTTATTAATTTGTCTTTTTAAGAACAATATTTATTATTATTGCAAAACTTTTCCTTTGTTAACTTTGGTCAAAGACTAAATCTGAAGATGGAATGGCACTACTTAACTAGAATGGTCCACTTGTAAGAAAATTTTGGGAAAAATGATTTGTAGATTAGCATATATTAGTCGTTCCTCAAAGCATGACATTTATCAGAATCCAAAAGTTTTTTTTTTTTTTTTTAATTTTTAAATTATTTTAGAAAGGAGTCTTGCTCATAATATCGATAGTGTAAAACTGACCACTGACTTTTTACAGAGTTATCTGGACTTAATTGTTCTGCGCTTTTACAAAATGATTTCTTTTAAATAAATAAACTGATATAGACAGTTTTAATTCAAGAAAAACCTCACATAGATTTAATAAGTATATGTCCATTTATTATTCATTTAAGATAAATAATTATTATCGCATAATTATTTTGCATGTGCTTCAGCCCCCCACAAAAAAAAAAAGTTAAAAAAAAAAATGTAGATATTGATGTAGACCTTTGTAAATAACAACTAAGTCTAATAATTTAGATACATCATACACAGTCTTTATACGTATTGACTGGATTTTCTTAAATGAGGTGTTTAATAATTATGTGTGTTTTTTTTCTCATCTCTCCCCACCACTCCACATTTCTGATCATGTATCCTTTAACATTCTTGTGGTGTCTGTTGTGAAGAGAGGGCAAAATACTATGACATTAATAAAAAAAAAAAACCCCAAAACCCCAAATACAATCTTTTTTTTTTTTTTTAATTGTGTGTCTCATCATGACTCTCCACAGATTTTTATTTATTATCTATGAATTGCCATGAATTCTCGGGAAAGATAGGGGAGTAATTTCCTGTTACCACAGTTTGGAATTCAGTTTTTTCCTTCTTTTAGATTGGTTGCCTTGTGAGTCTACAGAGTTCAGTCAACTGTGCTATTTATCCTATAGTTGGTGGGAGAAGAGGCAGAATTATGTGTTTCTTAAGAACATTAGTTTGAAAATGAATGCAAAAGATGAGGCCATAATTTCAGCTTGGCTCTCTGATTTCTCTTTTTATACATATCTTTAAAAAAAAAAAAAAAAAAGAAAACTCACTGCTACAATCTGCTTTTTAAAACCTGGAAATCTTTATTTTCTTAGATTGCATTTTATTATTTCTATAAAGCAACTTTACTTGACCTTGTAGATAAACATAAGATAGAATTATGAAACAAACAATACATCACTTTTTCTTGATAACATGTTAAACCGTACTGCTAATCACTTAGAACTAAGTGTCTAGTGTAAATCTCTATCTATAAAAGGCTGTGTGTGTGTGTGTGTGTGTGTGTGTAACGAATGCACGGCCGCAATTTTCAACAGATTTGCACCAAAATTTACATGCACATGCTCCAAGTTAGTGGGAAGGCCAAGACTGACATTTCATTTCCCAACTCCCATCGATAGTGGAAATAATTCAATTTTTTTATGCTTTTACGGCAGTTTTCATGTACTTTGCAGCCATTTTGTACTGGCCAGAGTGAGAGCCAACAGCTGACTGACACGAATGTTAACTAGCATGCTATCATGCAAAAAAAATCAATAGCGGCATTCGTCACAAGTGGGAAAAATTTTAATCTGCATGGCACTTTACTCCAATTGGCTCATTAAACTTGCTTAAACTCAACATTGATTCTGATTCCATAGAACTGAGTTGGGTGTGAAAAGTATTTGTTATTAACATTCTTTTTACATTCGGTTTTTCCAGTTATGAGTCCTTTTTAAAGCTGATCGCTTTGTGTTCATTTTGTTAAGTTCTTTTTCATAACAGATTTAATGTTTTGTGTAGAGCTTAGAAAAATTTTTACTTGGTGTGAGATAGGCAAGAAGTAAGGCATGTAGCAACATCAGCACGGCAAAGGGCACTCCTTCAAAGGCAAGGAAGGGCAAAAATATTTTAAGCCAAGTGATCACGATTGCTGTATGAGTCGTACGATTTTTGAATCAAGCACGGGCAATGCCAGGCCATGCTGCTAGTTTACTAATAAAAATGATGTAAATTTCTATCCCTACCATAACAACAAAGTAAAATCTGAAATAATTATCGAATTTTCTTTAAGAGCACTTACAATTTGTAGCCCTCGGTATTTATGTGATGAGGAGAAATACTTTTAAGCTCCTCCAATATTCTTAATTATTTCATATTCAATGCAAAAAAGAAAAGCTCATTAAATTTTTAAAAGTAAAAGAATGAATGATACAAGCAAGCTTTCAAAGCGATATA